CAAGTTCATGTCATAGGCACACAATTCAATAGTGATAACAATAAAATTTATTGAAACCTGCTGTGGTTCTCCTTCATCCTGAAACAATATCTCAGAGGTCACGTTCATAGTTTTTACTATGGTTCGAATATAATTTGTCTCCTTCAAAACTAATGTTCGGATTTAGTTCTCATTATGAAATATAAAAAGGAGGACCAGGCCGAACCTCCTAGAGGTGATTAAGGCGCTGTTCTAATCACAATGTATTAATCTATTCATATTTTAATGGATTAATGGTCTAATGGACTATCTCAAGAATGGGTTCGTTATAAACGCTGATTTGAGCCTGTTGTGGTGGTGCATGTCTGTAATCCAAGCCCTTGAGAGGCTGAGGTAGAGGGATTGATGCAGGGGAGGAATCATGAGTTCAAGGCAAGCTTGGGCTATCCAATGAGGATAGGTCTGTGATGTACTTCCTGTCTTACTAAACACTACTCTCATCCACGTCAAGATCCAGCAGAAATCACCAGATGCCAAGCAAGTTCCCATGTAAAAGCATGAACTAAGAACCTTTTTAAATAAATTATTCAGTCCCAGGAATTCATTTATAGCAACAGAAAAATGGATAGCTTACCTGTCTCACTTCCGATCAAAGGCTGATTTGCAAAATGCTTGACAAAATCCTTTAAAGATGAATATTCATTAAAGCCAAATTTAAATGAATATCCAGTATATTCAACATGAAAGTGTTTGACAGAGTCTTTGGCTCTGAAAGAAAAAAAGGTGTTGAATGTTACTTAACAACTGAGGATGTGTTTTGAAGGCAGATGTAATGGCAGATCTTAGCAACACCATCAACCTCTGGGAACTCAGAATACAGAATCATCAAAATCACTGACAGTTTTAAAGAATATTACTAAGTTCTTCCAGCACAGAACACTCTTTACACCTTCTTCACTCTACCAAAAGACAAGGGACAAGTCTCCTTGCCTTGCTTGGATTTATTGAAGAGAGCCATGAGTTTAGGAAGGAGGAAGCAGAGGTGCCTGGCTGAAGTAACGTGTGGTACCCTCACGTGTTTTCCATCCTTGGCTCTCCCTTGTTTGGGAGTCAACAAGAAGGTCGCTTCTGTCAATGAGTTATGTGAACCCAGTCCTTCTCTTCCCTTGCCTGTTTCACTGTCTACTGAAAGAATGTTATATTTCCTAGGCTGTTATTTTCGACTTCATTTTTGAAATGAAGAGTGTTTTAAAAAAAAATCTCTCTGCACTTTGCCCCCTTGCCATCTCTATCCTGGCCTCCAACTATGTAGCCTACACTTCAACTTCAGGATGCATCAGAGTCAACCATAAGGTCTGTTAAAACCCAGGCTGCTGGGCATCATCCCCCGAGACTCTGATTTAGCAGGTGCAGGTTGGGCCCTCAGAATTTAGGTTCTAACATTAGGTTCTGTTCCCAGTGGATACTGCGATTCTGGGGTCGGGGTGGGGATCCCAGCTTCAGGGCCCCTATCCACCTGGAGCTGCTGTTCTTCCAGAAGTCATTTCCACCTCAGCCCCTTTCTCCCCATTGTGACTTTCACCTTCTTCTTTGTCTCTGCTGCTAGAAATCCCAGTTACCCACTGAGGTTCCCTGTATGTACTACCTCCTCATCCAGTCGCACATGATAATTCTGGCTTAAGGTGTGTGCTTCTCTGTTCAGGCACCCAAATGCTTATCTTGATTTCTTTTATGTTATTAACTGTAGTACGATTTAGGTCTTATTAGCTGTCTGAGAATGTGCTTCCTGCCAACAAGGTTTTGAATTAAGATGGCCAGTACAGAGCGCAGGTTTCCAAATATCTAACATTAAGAGAACAAATTGATAAATGAATAAAAATAAGTATTCCCTAAACAACTGCTCTATGGGTGGTTACCTCTGCTGGTAGTTAAGTATTACCAAGTATTTCTAATGGAAACCAATGATCTATATTTTAATTTTTCATGAAGATGAAACATATACAATCCATTCATAAAAAGCCTAATTGTTCAAATGAGACATACATATGTAAAAAGTTAATTGCCATCTTTGATCCACTAATTACATGTTTTTATTTGAAATGTTTGGAAGACCCATGAGACAGAGCACCCTAAAATGGGGCCTAACCATTTAGTAAACTTTTAAAAAATTTATTTTTATATACATGAGTGTTTTGCCTGCATGCATATAAGTGCACCATGTGTGTGCAAACCCGAGAAGACCAGAAGAGGACTTTGGATCCCCTAAACTGGAGTCACAGATGGTTGTTAGCTGTCATGTGGGTGCTGGGAACTGAACCTGGGTTCAGCTCAGTGCTCTTAACTGCTGAGCCATCTCTCCAGCCATTTGATAGACTCTTAACATTGCTGCCAGTTAGAAAGAGCGAGAATCTTCTTCCTACTCAAGCAGGATTCCATCCCGGGCTAATAATTTCCTCATCCTTACAGTTTATGTTTTCCCTTTGTGTTCTTGTGTATATAGGTCCATGTGCACAGAAGTCAGCCTCAGGTGTTTCTCAGGTAGGTTCACCTGAATTTTTCCAGACAGTCTCTCACTGAACCTGCAGTCTGTTGATTCAGCTAGGCTAGCTGGCCAGTGAGCCTGAGGGAGCCTTCTGTCTCCTCCTCCCCAGTGCTGGGATTACAAACACATACTACCGTGCCCAGTGTTTTTTTTTTAAACATGGGTACTAGTATCCTTCAGTATTTATTTTCTATGCTACATATTATTAAAAAACAAAAACAAAACGTAGTTGGTCCCCCAACTCAGTTTTCCATGCTTGCCTGGCAAACACTGCTACCCCTGGCCCTGTTATTTAGAAAATTTATAAATAATACGTCAGGGTAACATAAAAATATTAATAAATGTACCTTTTTGTCTTTGAATCCCTAACTTATCCCCAGTCTCTACCTTTTTCTCCCTCTGTCCTACAAATAGGCCTGTAGACCATTGCTGGGGAATGGGAGGTGACAGGCAGCATTCGTAGGTAACCTCAAATCCAAACCCCTAAGCTGTACATTCCTATTCCAATTATTCAAATAAAAGCTATTCTAGATGGACCAGGAATATTTCAAATCATTCAGTCCTCAAATCAGTTCACTTTAAAATAGGAAGATTCTAGCTGGGCATGGTGGCACACACCTTTAGTCCCAGCACTTGGGAGGCAGAGGCTGGTGGATCTCTGTGAGTTCAAGGTCTGCCTGGTCTACATAGCGAGTTCCAGGCCAGCTGGGGCTACAATAAATAAATAAATAAATAAAATAGGAAGATTCTTTGTGTGGACATGACCTAATCACACGACTTCTGTAAAGCAGAATTCTCTCTGTCTACAGAAGAGGAAATCGGAGAGACCTGTTCTGGCCTGCCAAGAAGACAGCAAACAACCATGCTGTGAACTGCCCACAAAAGCCACGTGGCATGGTAAGCTGACAGTGGCCTTGGATGACAGCTAAGAAAATGGGGACCCCAGTTCAACTGCATCAAGGGGCTGAAAGAAAAATAATACAGGGCAAGAAGGAAGTGAGGAGGTGAACACCAAGCTCCAATGGGAGTCCCAGCCGACGTCTTTGTTTCAGTCTGGTAGGACTTGAATGAGAATCCTGACATGCAGGAACAGCAATATGAGCAATGTGTGTTCTTTTCAGTCACTAGGTTTTTGTGATCACTTCTAATTTTGCATAGAAAATAAAAACTGAAGGTCCTAGTCCAAAGAAAAGATAAGCAATATGCTAATTCTTGGTTTTTGAGCTCCTGGAAGTTTGTTGATAGTTATTTAAAGAACTTCTATTTCTGTCTGGTGTGTGTGTGTGTGTGTGTGTGTGTGCATGTATGAGTGCCCATATGTGTGCAGTTACATTTGCAGGTGTACATACATGTGTGTACCAGAGGGTAACCACTACCTCAGCTATCTTTCCTAAGATGCTGTCCACTTCCTTCCTTCCTTCCTCCCTTCTCTCTCTCTCTCTCTCTCTCTCTCTCTCTCTCTCTCTCAGACAAAGAGGCAGGGAACTTACAGAAAGAAGAAAAAGGGAACACCTTGTCATGCCAGTCTGGCCAGCCTGGCTCAAGGGACTGCAGTAAGAAGGGAACCTGTAACCTCCTCCGAGAGTCAGTGGGTTCATGAAGCTGCTGGCACAGTCATAGAATGGCAGATTGAGGTCCGCTTGTGGAGCCCTCACATATCTAGTCTAGACCCCAAGAACTCAAGAGGACGTGTGCATGCCACGTTGTGGAAGCCATGTCGGGCTGATGATAAGCTGAGTTGGTCAGGGTGGGAGGAGAAACTCTAAAAGGACTGGACATACCCTCCATTACTGCATGCAATTCACAGGGACTAAATGGACTTTCTTGACATTTGGGGAAAACAGAGCCTTATGAAAAAAGGCAGCCCATTTACAGTAAAAAAAGTATGAGGTTGTACACTGTCCATTTGAGTCTGTGGCTATGAACACATCATTCCAGTTTTCCCAGGAAGGAAAACAGCAAAGAGGGCACCTGGATTACAGTACTCATTCCATTGTGGAATAAAAGCAATCCAGAACGTCCACTGCTTTGGATCTTGGGTTCTTGTCTGTCAGGTGAGAGGTCAGGATTAAATAATACCAGTCTCCTCTGTTTCTGACATACTTTTCCTGGTAGTGGATGGAGGAGGGAAGATTTGTTACAGTCTCACTGTTTAGAGTTTGAAATCCTTTAGTCTGGCAGTTCAATAGGAATTGGGGAGTTTGTGGTATCTGGCAATTCGAATGTTGATAAAGTGAAGAAGGGACAGATGGGACCGTGGGCCATCAAGTCCTCCAGCACCTACCTCACAGAGAGAGAGTAGAGCCCAATCTGCTCATTGCTGTCCCTCAGCAGATAGCTCCCGTCTCGTCCATTGGAGAGGAGGAGAGCTTCAGCTGCGTGGCGTGAGAGGTTGCCATGGTACCACCTAGACAGAACAGAACAGCACGTTCCTTCAGGATAACCACAGGTGACCCTTCCCTCTCAAAGCATACTTAGCAATATTCTCCATCCTAAGGAGGCCAGAAACCAAGCTCTTAGTCTCTGCATGAGGACAAGGAAACCCCTGGCTGAGCGTGAGGGAGAGGAGTGGCTAGTAGCAGTGTACTATGGGCAGATTCTGCCTTGAAAATGCCCACATTTAAGCCCTAACCTCCAGTTCTTCAGAATGGAGCCTTATTTGGAGATAAGGTCTTAAGTGGAAATGAAGTCAGTCAGGTGTGCTCAATCCTGGAATCCTCTTGTAAAAAGGGAAGATTGGGGATAGACTCCCAAACAGGGAGAACACTGTGTGACCATGAAGATGGTCCATTGAGAACCAGAGGCCTTGAACAGCTTCTTCCTCACAGACCTCAGAAGGCACCAATCTCTGTGAGGCCTTGGCTTTGGACTTGGAGCCCTCAGAACTGTGAAACCATAGCCATCCAGTCTGTGACACTTTGTCAGGCAGCCTAGAAAACTAATGAGTGTTGCTTTGTAAACAGAAAACAATTTAAAGTCCAATCTAAAATAGCCCTAAGAGGAGGCTGGGGAGGCTCAGTCCTAAAGCACCTGCTCCAAAGCCTGAGCCAGAGTTTGGGTCCTCGGGACTCAGGTAAATACCAGGTGGGCAATAGTCACCCATCTGTAATCCAGCCTAGGAAGGCAGAAACCAAGATCTCCAGAACAAGCTAGCTCTCAAGACTAGCCATATCACTGAGTTCTGGGTTTGACTGAGAGACCCTGCCTCAATGAATCCAGTGAAAGAGCTATCAAAGATGACTCCCAGCATCAAGTTTGGGCTTCTACATACATGCCCACACACATATGCACAAACCCCCACACATGCAAACATGCGTACACAACGAAAACTTGGAAAAAGAAAAAAGAGGAAAAGAAAATAGACGCAATAATGGCTTTGGCCAGTTTTCTTTCTTTTGGCCTCTCACACGCCTTTCCAAGAGTGGGACCATTTCATGCTGATAAAACCGAACTGTCTCTACAGTCCACACTCATGAGAGAAAGGATGCTGGTTGCAAAGAATTCTGATGTTTCATAGTGAGCAACACCCAGCAATAACTGCTTCAAACTGACAAATATCTGAAGTGGGGAAAGTCCCAAGGAAATTCAAATCGATCTTCATGCATGTGTGTTTTTAAAAAGGTAATATATATGAATGGTTAAAAGGAGACAGTAAAACCAAAACCTTTTTAGGTTCCCCGTTTCTGCAAATCACATTCTTGTGTTTCCTCCTGTCTATGCATCTAAATGGCATTCAGTTCTGCCCTCTCTCATACTAATTCTGTGGGAATAAGAATATTCTAGACCTTGTTCTGAACTTTATACCTTTCTTCTAGTTACTTCATATAGTTTTTTGTCTGTTTTTAAATTTTATTTATTATTTTTAAAATTTTATGTGTATGAGTGTATAGCCTGTATGTAGATAGGTGTACCTGTGTGATGTAATACCTTTGGAGGTCAGAAGAAGGCATCAGATCCCCTGGAACTGGAGTTACAGATGGTTGTTTGCTACTATGTGAGTGCTGGGAATCGAACCTGGGTCCTCTGTTAAATCAACCAGTGCTCTTAACTGCTGAGCCATCTCTCCAGCCCCATGTTTTTTTGTATTTTGAGACAGGCTCTCCCGTAGACCCAGCTGGCCTGGAACTCTCTATGTAGACCAGGCTGGTCTCAATCTCACAGAGATCCACCTGCCTCTGCCTTCCAGGTGCTGGGATGTATGTCCATGCTTGGTCCTTCCATGTTTTCTTATTTTTACTTTGTGTGTGTGTGTGTGTGTGTGTGTGTGTGTGTGTGTGTGTGTGTTTTGCCTGCATGTAAGTGCACCTGTATCGTGAAGTGCCTGTGGAGGTTAGAAGAGGGTGTCAGATCCTCTGGAACTGAAATTAGGACAGTTGTTAGCCACCATGTGGGTGCTGGAAACTAGCTGCTGCAAGAGCAGCCAGTGTGTTAACCACTGGGACATCTCTCCAACTCCACCAATTCACATAGTTTTAAAGCACATTATTATAGCAGTCCAGTGTGAAACTGGGGAGAGTGGCCCCTACAGTCATGTTGACTGGGCCCCCATCCAGGGGATACCTTTTACTAGCAGCAAGACCTTGGGCAAATTACTTCACTGTGAGTCTCGGCCTCCTCAAGTCCAAAGTAGGATTAATAATAGCTGTGCCTTATACACCAATGGTAAAGAATAACTCATGTTAACAGCAGTATAGTGGCTGGAATAGGTTTGACAAGCAGCAGTACTCAGTTACTATCATGAAGCTGGTGAGATTCACACAGCTCAAACTGGCAGATTATCCTCCGTGGTATGATTTTCTGATTGTTCCAATTTCTATCCTTTACATTTAATTCAAGTAACAGAAAGCTAGGTACTAGAGTAGTTGCTGACTTCAAAGACTCCCTAGATCAGGGTGGTAGTGGTGAGGGAAAGATGGCCAGTTATGCACAAAACACCAGCGTGACAAGATAAAGCCTGTAAGAGGCACCCAAAGTACACAGGAGCCTCCTCTTGCAGTGAGGAATCTTGTCATCATCAACACAGGCATCCATCATCCCTGTGGCATGAAATGTTAGCCTAAGCAGTAAAGAGTAAAAGATGAGATTGTGGAAAAATGTTTCTACATGGTCTCTAAGATCTCCATTTCCTGAGCTTGTGTTTCTTAATGCCTGTTTCTTTAGTTGATTCCTTCTGTGGGCCTCAGATGTCTCCATTCTGTGTTAGAAATGTATTTACTAGCTGAAAGAGATGGCAGGAGAAACATTTTTTGAGAGTAGGCACTGAGCTATTCACTCATATCAGGCTCATTTCCCAAACTGATTCCCAGACAAATTCAAATATGTTTTCTACAAGACACTATGGAAAAAATTTCAAGGCTATTACAGATGTCAGATACAGCTAAAGACAAAATTCTAATTCCTCTTTGATAGGTGAGACCTCCACAAGTTTCAAGACCTGAAATACAGCTTAACAATGATTAATTTCAGGATAAACACTTCAGCATAAAATTTTATTTGAGCCAGTAGATAACTTATTTGAAACAATGCTTGATTCACCAATTTCTAAAACATAAAAGATTCACATATTTCCTTAGATTGTTTTCAATTGGCTCAGAAGTCTGCTTAAAACATTTATAGAAGTCTGATAGTAATTTTTTAAAGATTTATTTATTTAATTTTATATGTATGTGTGTGTGCGCCCGAGTGTATATATGTGCACCATGTGCATGCAGGCAGCTGTGAGCCACCATGTGGGTGCTGGGAGCAGAAGCTGGCTCCTCTGGAATAGCAGCAAGTACTGTTAATCTCTCCAGCCCCTGTGATAGCAAGTTTTACTAAAGATTTTATGGCAATATTTTAAATAATAATTATGTACTATAAATAGAAGGAAATGAAGGCAGTCCTCCTGTTTGGACAATCCTCAGTGTCAGTTTCTAGGTGGAAGTGTTGCTTGCGTCAATGGTTGCCATCTTGTTTGATATTCAGGGTCTGGGCAAACCTAAGAGCTCGCCAGGTAGGCATAGTAATGTCTACAGGACAATGACAGTCCTTATGCCTCAAATAGCTCTCCCATTAAAGTCTAAATTTCCAACTGGATTGGTGGTTAACGCCGATTATCATAGCACTTAGTGAAGCTGAGGCAGGAGGATCACAAGTTCAAATTAAGCCTGGGCTACAGTGCAAGACTCTGCTTCTAAGCGGCAAAAGTGGACTTGGAAAATGGTCCAGTTGGTAAAGTACCCTCTGTGCTAGCATGAGGACTTGAATTCAGATCCCCAGTATACACATAAATAGTCAGGTATACGAGCTGGAGAGATGGCTCAGTGGTTAAGGTACTGGTTACTCCTGCAGAGGACCCAGGTTTGGTCACCAGCACCCACATAATGGCTAATAACCATCTCTAACTCCAATTCTAGGGGATCCGATGTCCTTTTCTGACCTCTATGCACACTGCATTACAGAGGAGCAGAGGTGCACTTACATACATGCAGGCAAAACATTCATACACATAAAAATAAAAAAAATTAAAACCAAGTATAGCAGCATGCATCTGTAACCCCAATCTTCGGAAGGTTCACATAGGCAAATCCCTAGAGCTCACTGGCAAGCCATTTTAGTCAAATCAATTAGCTCTAAGTTCAAAAGAGACCCTGTCTAAAAAAATAAGATGGATGGGGCTGGGGAGCTGGCTCAGAGGTTAAAAGCACTGGTTGCGCTTGCAGAAGACCCAGATTTGGTTTCCAACACCCACATGATGGTTAGCAAACATCTGTAACTCCAGATCCAGGAGAGCCAACATTCTCTTCTGTCCTCCACGGGCATTGTACTCATGGGTGCACTTACATACATGCGGGTAAAACACTCATACACATAAAATAAAATTAGTGGATTTCCAGAAACCACTAATCTAAGCAGGAGAGCGAGACAAGCATATTGCAAACTACACACAAGACAGATTAAAATACTCAAGGGATATTCTAAGAAGAAAGAGCAAAACCAGGTTCC